TATTATTAAAAGAAATATTTTATAAATAGAAATTAAATACCAGACGGGACGTTTAATGTAATTTTAACGCTGATGGTAACATACACCAGAGATAAGTCTTAAGAAGTGGCCACATTTGAAAAGTGTTGTGCCTGTGTCTGCTCAAACAGTCTTATCTTTGTTTTCTTTTATCTGTTCCACTTAAATATCCCTTTTGTCGTCGTCTCTATTGACTTTAGTGTGATTACGGTCCTGAATTACTGTTTATGTTCAGCAAGCTGTATCGACTGCTAATGCCATACATAGCACAGCAAGTCAAGTTTAGTCGTCCTCCTGTATATGTTGATTAACGTGTTTAATGTCCGAATGTCCACTTATTTCTAGTTTATTTTGTGCCACTTATTTTTTTTTGCGATTAGTATGATCCTCTGTGAACCATTTAATGACATTGGTAAGCGAACAGTTATTTAACACAAGACACTTTAACTCATGAACAACAACGATCTTATTTTCACGATTGCACATAATTTCTGTATTCTAGGTACTTACTTGCGCACCTATGACTTTATATGTAGGTATCATAGTTTTAAAAATTTTTTTGATAAAGTTAAAGTACACTTTTCTATTTTTCTTAAGTGAAACGAATTTAACATTTGCAATAATATGCACTTCTTATAATATATACTTAAAATACTTTGCCTTTTCGTTTTAATATTTATCTATTTATAAAAAATTACTGCCATGTAATCAGAGTGTAAAAAAATTAAAAGTAGATATATAATAGTTTTTTTAATTTTATTTGTATGCATCACAGTTCTGAAAATTACCANGAAAAGTATTCAACTATTGCAATAATATATTATATAACATAAAATGAATTATTGTTTTGTTCTAATATATACTCATCTAATTATAAAAGAATAAATTCCTTCTAATCCGATATGTACCTAGATATGATTTTTCTTAGCTTTTTTTGTAAGAACCTTCTTATAATTTGCAGTAGTATACCTATTGTAATGTATAAATACACCTACAACAATTTTATTTTAATAATATGAGAATAGAAGCAGTGTCTTCTATTTGAAGTAGAAAAAAAAAAAAATAGTGTTTAAGTTGTTTGTCCAAACGGACCTATCGTATGCAGCAGTTATGTACAGTTACAAGCGAATAAGTAGTTTTCATTGTATTCAAACGTGGGAAAGAAATTCAATATACAACACCATTTTCGTTTTTTGTTTTTTTTTTATTAAAGGAAACACATAGCAGTTTTAAATACATCAGATTTCCATTAAAGTACGTAACTTTAGGTGACCACGTTGACCTAGTCTTTTCTATTGTAATTAGAAATTGCCATCTTTCGTTTTATACGTTTTATATTTATTTTTTGTTTGTTATGCTGTTGTATTTAAAGTATATTTATTATGTTTAACAGATTTTAGTAGCTGGAACGGCACTATTTCGCAAAGGTGGCGACGTCTTCGAAAATGTTGCGCGTCTTTAAGAACTCCTAGCGCCCAAAGTACCCCTGAACAATCACGGGATGCTCTTTTGGATGACAGCAACAGCAATCCACGTATTCTAGTCAGTACCCCACACACTTCATCATCGTTACGTCTTCCTGGTAAAAAGGCAGGAAGTGTTCAAGAATTACTACGTTCCAAATTAAACAGAATTCATGTCGGCTTAAGAAAAAGACGCGCCCTATCCGTCCAAGAAGTATTCAGCAGCCCTACTGAAGAAAAGCCTACATTTTATGTTCCTTCACCTAACGAAAGGGTTCCTAGTATTGGTCCTAATCGTAATCCGTCTAATTTTGTCTGTGATGAACCTTCTCGGCCAAAAGAAATACATCGAAGCAGACCTCGCACAAGGTTTTTGAAATTCCCCTTCTAGGTATCATTATAATACATTCAATTTTTGTTTTCTTTTGTGTACAGATATTCAGACTACGATCCACACGAAATTTTAATTCAAAAAATTGATAATGGTTATCACAGCTATGAAAGTCAGGGCTACGACTCCCTTCCTTTTGAGCCAGAGCCGGACTATGACGATCCACCATGGAAAAACAAGACAACAAAGTCTCCAAGTAGAAGATGGTCGATGGCTGATGGTTTAATGACCAAGAAGTCGGCCGGTCAGCAGTCCCAACGACACGAAGTAGACTCAGGTCCGTCTTCTATAGCTTATGAACATGTACTTCCGGTCAATAATGGTGGGGCTAAAAAACCATCTGTCACGGGTCATAATGTAAGCAAAATACCAAAGGCTAAGTTAGTAAGTGGGAAATTAAGAGAACGTACAAGATCCCATTCGCCCGCCACAATAAACAACGATAACAATTCTAATGCCAAAGACAACGCTAAAACGTCCAAAGTCGTTACCTCCAACAGTTACTACGGAATTGTTAATTCTGAACAAAGGCAGGAAGTTCACACCAACAAGGACTACGGACGAATAAACAGACAGGTACTATACCGGTGTAATTAAAAAATGCTACTTTTGCAAAGAACATAGGTCGGAAGTAGTAACTTGAAAAATCACAGAAAGAAATATTCCAAATTAAACTAAAAACCATTTAAATTATGAGAAAACAAAAATAACCATGCAAAAATATGAATTACTATAAAAAAAATATGAACGTCACATCTATTAATATACTTATTTTAAAAACTTCTAAAAATATATGCGTACACAGAGTGGTTTATTAACGAACAAAATATAAAAATAATCCATGAATTTTATTGCGTAGGAGCTGTTAGAAGAGTTAGAAGAGGAGGAAGAAGAGAGCAAATTTTGTACGCTACCTAGGGGTGGTGGTAGTTCCTTTACAATATGTCAAGTTACCTTTAATAAAGGCCCAGGTTACAAAGCTTTAGGATTTAGCATTGTAGGAGGTACTGACTCTCCTAAAGGTAGTATTGGTATATACGTAAAGACTATTTTCCCAAATGGACAAGCTGCTGACAATGGGACGTTAAAAGAGGGTAAATTATTTTATCGAACCTCCAGTACACCAGTGTATTACCTTTCTTTTTTTAGGTGATGAAATATTAGCTGTGAATAGTAAACCGCTTCATGGTCTTTCTCATAAAGAGGCTATAGGGGTATTTAAAAAAATTCGATCTGGTCCTGTACTTCTTCACATTGGAAGAAGGATTCCGAAACGCCGCAGGGAACGTTTAGTGCCCATTACTAAGAAGCAACCTCAATTCCATTAATATTACAATATTTTATACGTATATAAAGTTTTATATATATTGCAATTCGTTTACACTTACTTTTTAGTTAATAAAATAACCAAAGATGCTTGAGAGCAGTGTTTTTTAATTTTTTATATGTAAGCATATTAATATAAATATAATATGTATAGCACAACTTGGTTATACAGCCACTCTAGCGACAAACGATAATTTAACGTAATAACCGATTGTCGTTATTAACAGAAATACACACAATATACGTAGCTAACAATATATAATTGAATAATTTCGAAAACACATTTTGCACTGACTATGCCATATATATCAACTGACGAAAGTATCGGCAATACTACAACCATTTCAAGTATTTGTAACAACAAAAATACATTAGACCATAATTTATTGCAGTTGTTACAGATTTTTAGCGTTGGTTTGAACAGTAGGTTTACAGAATTATAAAAAATTATCGTTTCATCACAGTTGTCGTTATGACTGATGTTATGACCAAGTTCCACAGTAAATGGTGTTGCAAAAACGACTTTCACTTACAAACGTGGTGATAAGAATATTTTAATATAAAGCGGTTTTACAAATCGTATACTCATACTTCTTCTTCTCAATTACCTAAATATGCTGAAATTGCCAAGAAGCAATTGTATTTAAATAAGAATGGTTTGCATTTCATATCGTGAAAAATAAAAAATGTAATGTTAATCCTATCAATGTCGTTTCTATGCTAAATAGTAAGAATTGGGACAGTACAAAAAAAGCACAATTTACTTAAAAAATTTAATAGTGATTAATTCAAACAAATGTCTATTCTGATTTTGATTGTGACAATAAGCAGCATAAAGGACGAATTCTTCATCACAGCTTGGTTCTTTCCGTTAATAACTTTATCCATTTATAAACTCTTCATTTACACTGCTTTTGTACACATTAAATTATACACATATGTACTTATATATTCTATATATTATATAGAGAGATAACATAAGGGCCTAACGACATTTAATAACTTACGATTAATAAAATAGATTTCGAGCTACAATAAACTAAAAAAAAAAAAACAAAAAAGCATATATTCTGTACTTTGTCTACATTAGTTAGGTTTATTAAAAAATTTGTTATTAAATAAAATATATTTTACTTTAAGTCCTATAAAATAGTACAAAAATCAATTATTTCGTTCACGTACTTGTTGACATGTCGAAATACACAGTTGTATTATTATTATCATTAATTAATTATATAAAATCGTGCAGATGCTTTATCTATTGTATTATATAATTATGTGGCACGAAATGTGAGTTAGCTTCTAGCGCACTTTAGCGCTAACGAACAGGCCGTATCTACTTAGCCACAGACCTACTCCAGTGCCTAGGAGAAGTGAAATCAAATTGGTTAAAAACAAAGTGCAAAGACCTTTTCGCGAAAATATGCTACTATTTCCCACTCTTGCATAACGAATACTGAGGACGTCCCTCTTTGGATGGCGGAAACTCCAATTCTTCGGCGGTAATTGATCAGGGCGACTGCTCCAATCACTAAATAAGTCTGCATCCTAAATTAAATTTAAATTAATTTAGTCTTATTTAGAAAAAAATAAATAAATTATTTATAAGTCTCCTCCCTAAGTGATCTCCTAGTTTGAGCTGCCTTTTCAATAGAAAATTTGAAGGCTTATTATTATTAGTAGGGACCCAGTTCTTAGAATGCTTTTCACAGCATGTTAGAAAGATAGCTCCAACCAAGGTATCATCAAGCAAAGATAACTATGACTAAAATGTCATCAATGCAATTATGTGAAAATGTGAAAATTCTTACATCTTTTGGTTCAGTGTTTAGATAGTATGACTGCCATTCCATAATAAGTGGAGTCCCCTGGACGGGACTATTCGGTGGTGATTTAGGGCTGCTTCTAGGTGATTCCCTTCTAGAGCCAGCTAAAGAAACCCTAGCTGATGATTGATTCGATTCCCGTTGAGCTTCACGTAGGAGACGTAAGTACTCTTCTGCATTAATTTGAGGAGTTACAGATCCTGGAGTTCCACCCCCTTGTGATCCGCAGGTTGGTGTTGTAGTAACATCAACCCAAGATTCTGCAAATTTGCATTTATATGTTTAACACTACAGTTAACAATACAAAATCATATTCTTTTGGGAAACCATTTATTACACAATATAATTAAAAATACAATGGCCTCAGTATTTATTTTCCATTGTATTTAAAAGTAATTTACATGAATCAATGTTAATAATAACTTTATAAAAACTTGTTTAATTCTATTGTTCTTTCAATATATTTATCACAAAAATAGACTACAAGTTTTATAACTATTTAGAACATAGAATTAGAATCCAATAACAAAGAAATTTATAAAAAATACTAATTAAATATTATGTTTTATAAAAAATGGACTATTGATAGTTTGAATTTAAAAACGTCGTAAAAATAACGAGAATTTAAATATAAACAAAACTGCGATTTAAGCAAAAAATAGTAAGATTATTAGTATATAAGGTTATTTTCTGTGACGTTATCATTTTTTTAATAATAGCAAATGAAATTCCAAACTTAAACAATAATTAAAAGAAAATAAATACATTAAATATTTATAACAAGTGCAGAACATTAATAAAATCATGTTAATGTTATCTTTCAAACGATATTCTGACTGTTTAGTAGCATTAATTAAAACAGGAACAATTTTATGTTTATATTGTATTATCATATGCGTTTAATTTTTTGTAACATCAACTTGACAAATAGGTGAATGTAAATAAAAGAGATTTACCCCCAAGAAGATCGTCTACGCTCGATTTTGAGGATGACATCGTCTATTTCTTTATTTGAGAATGTAATCACTTCAGATACTCAAATTCACTACTAATAAATACTGTTGTTACTGCTCCAAAAATACTCACAAAACTCCATACGCAAAATCTACCTCTCTGACATCAGCTACGTGACTTGACAACAGTCAACACTAACAGCGCTCTTACATGGTTGTCATATATGTTTTTGTATAGCTTATCATTCAATTTGCATCATTGCAGTGATGAATGTAAAACCATAATAATCCGAAAATATTCACCTAGTTGAAATAACTAACAGTAACAGCCAAAAATCTAGAGTACTAACTTATTAAATAACCAACAAAAAGATACAGGGATAGACTGCAGAACATATATTAGCACGTGTAAATAAATTAAAACAATTGGTTTTTCTTTTATAAATCGAACGTTTGTTTTTTTATTTATTTACAGAAATACGTATTCATACCTTTGGTCCTAATCTTAGATAATTATTTCCACATTTTTTATTAAAATTAAAATTTCTATTTAAACGTTGACTTGGCAACATCGAAAGAAAACTACGATTTTTTTTAATTATGCACACGTCTGACGTCAATCTCACGTGATCATAAGCACTTCAAAGCGGTCTGGGACAATGACATGTATAATAGATATTTTAACAACAGATATGTATATATATATGTAAATATGCATTACAAGAGCTCTTAATGTTATCACCTTTATTTTTTACCAATAAACAAATGGCTTAGTCAACCCATTGTACATCGCTATACTTATATATATAAGACTTCTGGAACTTGAATTTACATAAAATGTTAAAAAAATCATTGACTACCACAAACGGGTTTACGAAAACTAAATTTACTGTAAATAAAACAATCCCGGAATTTTCGGAATATTAGATGTGTGTAAAACATCAATACAGTCCCAATTATTTCTGTTGTGCGTTTCAGGAAAGGAAAATACCGAAAGAACTTAAATTTTTTTATTCATCATTTAAAAAAGTATCACAAGTTGTTTATAGGACATTTTGTACATTAGAACCTATATAAGGCACTTTATTGATCGTAATCAATTTTATTTATGTTAACTGTATATTGTTAATTTTATTAAATAAACGTATTAAATTTATAAAAGATCAATTTTTGCTGCCATTTTAATAATAGCCTTTTCAAAAGCTTCTACTATTGCTTTTCTGTAATAAAACAAGAACATTAGCTTGTATTTTGTCTAACAAAAGGTTTTTAATTTTAATTGTTACCTAAATTCTTTTAAATACCAAATGTATGCTCCAACATGACCAGTATTTAAATATCTAACTGTTGCCCCTGGCCATATGTCTTCAAGTTTAGAACAGCCCTCTCTAGGAACATAACCATCTGATATAGCACACAGTGCTATAATTAACGATGTATCGAAAGGGACGGAAAAATTCTTTAGATGAGTGCATTCATCCATCATTCCTTTCATAAACCAAATAGCTTCCTTTTCCCATTTATTTGATCTCGATAAGCTTTCGGGAACTTGGACATGAATAAATGATTTTAATTCATTCAAATCACGAGAAGGAACCAAATTCCACACTAAATTTTCTTTAGTTGCTTTATTTTCAAAGCCGGAATAATTTGCTTTGGCAGTGTGTAAGAATGAAAGGAGTTCGTATGGAGTCAAACTTTCTTTGGAAATGTTTCTAATTGGCGTTAGTTCAATATCTGAAGTTTTGAAGTGTATACTTATCAAAAGACAAAATTTTAAAAATCCTTACCTCTAAAAGGATTGCTTAATATTTTGCACATTTTCGACAATTCTTCCGAGTAACGAGAGTTTGTTCGAAACTGTTCTTCAAGAAGCTCCCAGTCAATAGCTTCACTCATCACCCCCTAAAAGAGAATTTTACATTATTCTGTTTTAATTAAACCAACCTTTACTTAACTTCGAATATTATTAATAGCACAAGCCAAATTGTAAATATACATATGCACTTAATTTTAACTTAATGTTAAAAAATAAAATTTCGTTTTTACCTCTGTAAAGACAGAAGATGCAGTGGACCATGAAAGGCAAGGAACTAGCACTAAAGGTTTAGGCCAATTTGTAGCTGCTAAAGAAGCCATCTACAATGTGACCAAAAAAAATTAAAAAATGGTAAAGAAATGATTTCAACTCATACATGTCCTCCCATTGATAATCCTGATACCCCTAAAGGTCCAAAACCCATTTTTTCACACCAATGAAGTAAAGCTAAACATTCCAAAATTAAACAACCTCCCATTACAAATATATCGGAGACATTGTGTAAACTTGATCGTATTTGATCTTTTGGTTTTCTATATCCATAAAAAGGATTTTCTAATATTATGGCTCCTATTCCAGCCTTGAGAAGTGGTTTAGCCATTACATTTCTTCTTCTCCAAAAGTACTTAAATATTTATTAATTTAGTTATAAAAATATCTAATGATACATGTGTGTGTTAGAATGTTTGAATTTCTTACATGATCGCCTGTGCCTGCTAAATGTATACAAACAGGTCTTGCAGAACTATATTTCCATTGTTTTGGTAGTATTACTTGAAAATAGGCAGTTTTAACCTCATTCGGGACTACTTCTGGTAAATAATTTGCTAAAGGAGAATCAAATTTACCCTCTAAAATTTTACAATCATTCCAAGATTGTTCCTAAAATATGTTAACGTAAATTATACACAACCTACATAAAAACCCTTACTATTACTAAGTACTTACTGATAGAATTGTGATAGGATAATCACTTGGGACCAATTTAAAACAAGTTTCTCTGTTCGAAACAATTTTTCTAAATTTAAATAACCTGTTCGGCAAAAATTAAAATTAAAATAACGGTAAGCAGTGCGCAAAATATTTACTTACCTAGCCAAATTATCAGGACTACCCCATCCTCGTGTAAAAAATTTTGATAATAGAATTTTTCGATAAACTTTATCTAACCTGCTAACAGGCATTTTTGAACATACTAAATTTTCATACAANAAAAAGCACACAACAAATAAAATTAAAAATACGTGCACAAGTACATGAACTTTAAATTTAAGGTTATGAATATTTTGAGTCAGAAAAACACAATAATTTAAATAATAAGACAATTTTACCGTTAATGTCTTTACAATTGTAACCCTTTTATACCATTTTGTGATAACAAACAAACTAACATAACTATTTTCTGTCAGATTGTTGTTTGTTATGTTTGCTATTTTGTTATTTTATATCATTACATATCACAATCTATTTTTGGCACAGAATTAGATGGCATACATGGCGTTGTTTATTCATTTTAAAATATCAAACAACATAGATTATCAAGTAACTTTAAAATGTTTGTTTATCAAATACTATCTTTACTCCCGTTAAAATCAAATACCTACGATTTTGGAGCAATACGTTCAAAATGAATTTAAATAACAATAATATACCTGCAATTATAATGGAAATTCTTATATATGCTTAAAAGTTAAATGGGTTGCATACCTGCTATCATGAAATGCAGGTGCTTTGAATCCTTCGAATAGTAATTTTTTTTAATAATAAAATATAGTTATGACAATTTACATTGTATTTATAAAAAAATATACATGATTTGTAAAAGAATATATAGCATGTTATAACTGTTACTTTAAGTACACCTTTTCAGGTTCAACCTGTCCATTCAAGAATTACCAATCAATGATGTTGCTTTGAATATTTAAATGTAAATTAAATAATTAACGTTTTTGATATTGTAATAGGCGTTTGAAGAATCATTCATAAGTAGTAGACAGAACGGACCATGTGAATTGAAGAATTATCTTCAATTACAAGGTTGTAAGCTGCAAGCATTGCTACAAAATTAATTATCGGTATTAAAAAAAGAAGTGTATTAGTCATCAGAACAGATATCACGAAATTAGAAATCATGCGCAGTAGAGCTGTAGGGTAGGTGCACTATACAATAACAATAGGTAATGCGGGCTCGAAGAGTGTGCTGCGACTAAAGTATGACTCATTTTAAAGATCTATAGTCGTCATCAGCGTGACAGCTAATACTAGCTGTGTATGTGTATTCATAAATCCCAGAAATTCACGTAAATTTCGGGATGCTTTGCGAACGTACGGGTTACTTTGTGGTTATATTGTCAGTGCGTGTGGTGTAGATAGTTATTTTATAAACAAAAAGTGAAGAACAAATAAATGTGAATCGAATTTCCGCTTTAGAACGATACAAGTGTGTTTGTAACCGAATTTCAAATGAAAATTAGTGTACGCAAGGGTTGCCCTGTATTTCTCCACTACTTCCTTTTTGAGGATTACCTTAAACATTAAACAGGTGAGTAATACCATTACGTCTTATCGAACGTACCAAATTAAAATAAACATGATTCATGTTCACGATAGCAGGTATAATTTAAATACTCTGTTTTTATTTTAGGCTCTTTCTTATATTTAAAGTTTAATTGGATTAGATTATTATGCGTCAGTTTATTCGAATAATAATGTTTCCATGCAACTTTGAAAATAAAATTTTTTTCAAAATGAAATAGATGATTTTTATATCTAGGATTATTTCAAACGACCTAATTTAATTAACCAGCTATTACGCTTATATGTTTAATAATTCGATTCTTCGTTTCTGCAGTGCAAGTAGATATATTGCTGTCAATTTAGAAATGTTTTGTTTAAGTTGCGAAATTAATTGTCATCAATTCATCATTTTTGTATTGTGACACATATCTGTTTACTTAGATGTATGTATAGATATGTACTTACGTTACCTCAAGTAATAACTAGTAAAGTGCTTAATTTAATTATCGGTGGAGGTATTTTTGCGCTTTTATTTTTTTTGTTTATTCATGCAGATAGCGTCATTCAAAATTCTGCATTATCACTTAGAATGGGTAGTACTTATTTATTACAAATTAGATTACATAGGTGCATGGTTACAAAAATTTTCACAAAAAAATGCTGAGAAAGCTGTACTTAAAGGAACATTAACATACCTATTTTCAATCGGTTTGTATGATCATAAGTACGTATATAATAAAATATATCGATAATTTGGAACAGTTAATTAGTACTTACTTTTTCACTTAAACGTGGTAGTATCTGGATTATATATATGCGTAGTACCTATGTATATTTTTCAGTTTCGTACTATTTGTTGTATAATATATTTTCATTAATGCTAATTGATATATTTTTACATAAAATACGTATTAAGAGCTTCCTATAAATGTTTGAATTTCTTACATGATCGCCTGTGCCTGCTAAATGTATACAAACAGGTCTTGCAGAACTATATTTCCATTGTTTTGGTAGTATTACTTGAAAATAGGCAGTTTTAACCTCATTCGGGACTACTTCTGGTAAATAATTTGCTAAAGGAGAATCANTCAGTTTCGTACTATTTGTTGTATAATATATTTTCATTAATGCTAATTGATATATTTTTACATAAAATACGTATTAAGAGCTTCCTATAATTGTATGGTTTCATTAATTAAACATGTACGGACTATTATAAGCTACTAATCTTTAGAACTTGTTAGAAGTTTAAGTAAACTTTAAGATGAGACCAAGAATTTATATGGTACCTACCTACCTACTTATCAAAAAACTCGTTGCTGTGAAATATAACCTACACGATAAGTTTTGATCAAAAACAAAATTGTATTTTGTATTAGCTATTAGATATTAGATACAATATAGTTTTTTACTACATCATTTCATGTATCATATTCGTAGGTACTCATATGCACTCAGTATATTTTTATCTTTTGCTGTGTTATCAGATAATTTGAAATTAACAGATATATTTTCACTTAAATGACAATAGTGTTTTAACTACAATTTGTATTTGAAATACGACCGAATTCGTAGAGGACATGTAGGTACCATGTTAGTTGTTTCTGTATTAAAAGTAAACTAAAGTTTTGGTGTTTCTTTTCTCACTGTTCAATTTTTATGCTTTTGGCCTTATTGAGGTAGTATTTTTATTCATTTTGAACGAAAATAGCTGGATGTCAATGGAAAGAACTAGGAATCAATGGAAATGTATGCTTCTTGTGACATGGATTTTTGTTGAATTGTAGAGGTGATGTGATAATATTGAAAAACGACTATTGTGGAAATATCGCTTATTTTGTTCATGTCTATTAGTGAAAATAGGAATGTATTTAGATATTATCTGGATGTGTATGCGTATGTGTATAGCAACTTGGCACTTATTAACGTTGCGTTTTCTTTAGCTATTCCAGATATAGCGGCTGACGTTAGTTTGCGTCATGTCGGCAGTATGTCTCGAACTGTCGACCGGTCGTCCTCGGGAAGGTCTCAAGCTACCTTTGAATAGAAGCCTAAGTGAGCCTGGTCCCTCGACCTCAAATCACCATCAATTCCAGTTATTCCTTCAGCCGGCAAAACGTTGCAAACTGGAGATTTCCAGCGTGAGTTTGCCCACGAGTCCGTGTGCCGAGAGTGCCACGCTTCAGCGTGCACTCGTACTCAAAAGAGTAGGCATACTAGATCCTGATGGGCTCAGAGCAAAAATTGACAACGTTAAGCCTGGCCCGAGGTCCTTCCTTATCCTCGATTGTCGGCCGTTCATATCCTACAACATGAGCCATATAACGGGAGCTATAAACGTTAATTGCTCAGACCGTTTTAATCGCAGAAGACTGCAACAGGGCAAAGCTACCCTCGCTGATCTAGCGGTTACCCGGGAGGGCAAAGAAATGCTCAAGAAAAGAACATACAAAGAAGTTGTCGTTTACGACGATTGCACTGCAGATAAAGAAAGGGTTACTATGGCACATCCCCTTCTACTTGTACTATCATCCCTTATGGAAGACAATCGGGATCCATTTCTACTTTTGGGTGAGTTTTTGGTAAATTTATTTTCTTCCCCACCAGGTCGCCGTTAAATGCTACTTAAAGCTCTGACTAATACTTTGCTTACGCGCGATTGCTGTAGAAAATATCTGTCTACGTATCTAAAGTAAAAATAATGTTGTCATATGTAACAACGTAAGTAAAAAAAAAACAAGAAAGTTCGTGTTTTAATTTTCGGTTTTATTAGCATGAGAGAAATTTCCTATCGTTTCTAATAATTTAGTTAGTACCTACAGGTTATCCAGTAAAGTAAATTTTGTGAACGACCTCAACTTTTTTTTTTGTTTGAGTCATTGTGTTGAGAAAATGTATTGTATTGTCCGGTCTATAATTAGTACGATCTTTCACTGACTAAAAAAAAAAAAATTGTTGTTATTATATATACATATGTGATCGTTTCGGGTATACATACGTTACATAGGTATTGGGTGTAGTACATATACCTACGATAGTTGTATTTATTCAGTTTGCAACATTTTAAGGGAGAGAACGCAAATTGGTCTCTCTTTACTTTATATCCATTGAATTTTTTCTTCGTAAATTTATTTAACACAAACTAATTCACTTTTTTAAAAATAATTTAGAAATATATAAATACTTCTAAAACAAGAAAATGACAGTGTTTACATGTTGTCCCAGATAATTTTAAATTTTTGAGGAAGCGCCAATTAAAGTCAGATATAACTTAGATGACTAATAATGTATTACTATAACGTAAAGAATTTATAAGTAGTATCCTGATCAAAAATTACGTCGAGTGTATAGAAATATTTATTGTTATAAATTAAAGTATCTCATTTATTTTATTGTAAGAAGCTATTTGAGACAGAGAGGATAACTTCCTTTTTGTGTGATATATGTATTAGAAAAACACCGCATATATAGCCATTATACAACACCAATTGCTTTATTATTTGCAACTATAAAACTATTGAAACACTTCCGTGTCAAAGATGTGTCCCAATTATTGACAACTATCCATTAGTATTAGAGGTCATCCATAAAATACGTCATATGTTAAGAGGGGGGAGGGTCTACGAAATGTGACAAGGAGTGGGAGGAGTCGTAAGTTACGTGACGTCACATTTCAAAATCTTATATATTTATATACAAGACCACTAACTAACACAAGCAGTCACACAAGAGGCAACAAGGAGTTTTTGGCCATCGCAAAGGTTCATCCTCAAAGAATTTCTTCTGGACGTGTCAGAGAAATTCTTTGTTTGGATGATGACGATGATGCTATATGGTTGGATGAAAAAGATGTTGACACATCGACTGTTCCTGACAATAACAACCCAAACGAGAACGAAGTGACTGCTATGCTGATTATAAATAATTTGAAGGAAGTCGGTTCAAAGTCCATGGATTCAAAATCATTAAGTTTGTAACGTCCATTATTACAGTTGACAATTTATTCGTGTTCGATTTGATGTTGATTATATTTAAATGGAAATGAAACTAATTTCGGAATTGCTGTTTTAATTTAATCATTTCTAGTTGTAAAATTGAAAAATATGTGACGTCACACTAGGGATGGGGGGGTCTCACAAATGTGACCAATTGTGACAAGGATGTGGAGGGGTTAGAAATCACGAAATTGTAAAGGTCTACATGATGGCCCCCACTCCTTTCGGGGTGGGGGTGGGGGGATCGAAAGAGGAGGTCTTCCCCACCACTGTACCATAAAAAGTTCGTGGCGGTCTCACCCCCATAAAAAGTTACGGGGGTTAAAAGTTAATAAATATGCCAATTTTTATACATTAGGCATGTAAATATTTATATAGTAATTCTTAAACAATATTCAAAGGTAAAACTAATGAAAAATACATAAAAATATTGAGAAAGTTATATAAAACATTATTTAAATATCTTTATCAATAGGGTAGGTTAGGTTAGGTTAGGTTATCGGTTTTTGTTCAAGTGATTACCCTCTTTCGATCCCCCACCTCTACCCGCTTCAAATTTTTTTTTTTTTTTTTGAATTTTATTTGAATTATAGTGTATGCAAATTGACAAAATAATCAACTTTCAACCCCCATAACTTTTTATGGGGGTGAGACCGCCGCAAATTTTTTATGGGGTTTTACTCAGGTGACTATCCTCTTTCGATCCCCCCTACCCTCTTTCGATCCCCTCTACCCCCACCCCCATCTAACCTCCATACCTTTTTATGGCGGTGAGACCGCCACGAACTGTTTATGGTACAGTGGTAGGGGAGACCTCATCTTTCGATCCGATGAAACCCGAAGGGGGTGGGAGCCATCATCTAGACATTTACTCACGAAATTAGTGTGACGTACTTTATTGATGACCTCTTAAGTCTTATCGAAATCGGTTCAATTGTTTCGAAGATTGGCCCGTACAAACAAACAAATAGACAGACAAAAATAGGCTAATTATTTACTATATGCCACGGTTTGAGGGAAGGAATAGAAGTGGGTATGATAGAGGTGATTTTGTAAAACATATTAAAGTGTTGTTAGTTGAGAGCGAACACAAGCACAAATGTAGTGAATGATAATTATGTGTACGAATTGACCGTTTTGCCTCTTTCTTTGTTCTCTTAAACAAAAGCAAGGAAGGTGGACTTTTCTTAGCTCCACATTCCCGAAAACAAAAGGAAGGGTGTGATATCACTTCGTTCGTGTTGTCTTTTCCTATCGTAACTTTATGATCCTAAGCATCCAAATAACAACATTCTTCGATTAATGTCATTAAGGGAAACATGACCTGACTTGCCCTAATTGAACTTTTACCGAAGTATTTGAAGAAAAGACAATTCAAACAAAGGAAGGCTTAAGAATTGTAGACCTAAACTGAAAGTTTTCACAGTCTCTGTATAACATTTCACTTCTTTATAGATGGTTTCATCATCTGTACATTATTTTTATTAGATTCTGCAACTGCACCCCCCCACTCCCGCGCTTTTAACACTTTTACTGTTCAACATGCTCATCTGTCCCCTCTCTACGCCACTTGTCCACCTACTGACGGTCAGTTCATTGGTATAAACAATCACTATTTTCCCAATTTTCAATTTTGATCTTCAGGTGTGCCTCCTCGTGTTCGCCTACATTTAAAAACACTAGGTCACCACTAGCCTACTTACCCCTATTACCCCCTGTATCTCCCACGTTATAAACAATTAAATCAAAAAATAATTAAAATTGCTTATCTAATGAATAATAAAAAATTTTTTAAGTGCTATGTAATGTAGGGAAATCCTCAAAGTAACCAAACATTGCTGGTATATTATTTTCATACATAAAATTTTTGTTATTCATTAAAAAACGGAATTCAAATAATTGCTTATAATTACTACTTTTTTGGCAAATCATAAAAGATGGTAAAATAGAGCATGTGTATTTTGTTCTTTTTTATTATTTTTTCTACAGAGTAAAGTTTTATTGATATATAATCATGGGACATACAGGTATAATATAATAACAGAAATACAATACAACTTCGTTATGACAAAATCGGTTATAAAGACAAGTCTCATGTAATGTTAGTATTCATTTTCTTAAGATTCAAACCAAAGCTAAAGATCTCGTCTGCTCCCCGATGCCTTTCTTAGCTTTTATTCCAGGGGTCTAACTTATGAGAAACTCCACTCTTTATTACCATTACTATATGGACCACAAATGTAGTTACCGCAAAATGCTTTCGAAATACCTAATTGAGTTTGTCTTGCCAGATATGCACTGCTTGTATTAATAGTTACGTATGTATTGTTTACAATTGTGAATAGCGACAATCGGCGACTCGGCTATTACGTCAAAATATCGAGGATCTCTAGAATGACGCTATAACCAAGTTCTATTGTAATTTAGTAGTTAGTGTACCAGTGGCGCAATGATAACCGAACGTAGGGATATTTACTACACACAATCATCAATGAGTGGCATTGTTTTTTGAAAAGTACGATGTGGCACAAAAGGAGAATTTGTACAAACACCTTCATCCATTTTTCCATATAAATAATAAATGCAATTGAAAGCTTCTGAGGGCTTTTATTCGGAAATTTTTCAATGGTTGAAACAACAAATCCCGTTATGCGTTTTCGCTGGCGTAAAATGAAAATAAAAAATGCCCCGGCTAAGAAATGTATAATTTCTATGCCCGGTGAAATTTTTGCCTTATCTGTATAGTACTTGGCAAACGGTGCTGTATTTTATTTATGACTCATAATCTCTGCCCAGAAAATCAGCCAAAGCAAAATTGTAATCACGACTAGACTTAACAATGCCTTCTCAGGTATATTCCATACAACTTCGTTTATTTCTGAGAAGTTGTATATGTGGACATGAATGAACCTTGACCCTACATTCATATATCATGTTACGTATACGGATTTATCATTTCTCTGGAAAGAAATTATAAGTTTTCGAAATTGTTGTATGCACTTGGTAAGATAGGGAACTCCAGTCAAATTGTCGTATAGTTTTATTTTTTAATGTGATTGGAGAAATTCGTGTGGAATTTTGAGACAGGTATTTATTCAACATAGTAGCGTGGAATAGTGATGGTTCTTACTAAAAAGGTGAATGAAATCGTTCTTATTCAATGTATATAATAATAATAATAATAATATTGATTGTTTATAATAACAATAAACATGGACGGAGAAGAACACGTCCGTGCGGCAACAATCACTACAGAAATTAAATTAAATTTCATAGTATACAGTGTGAGTTTTTAAATTTTGCTCATTCGAGTGAGTCACTTTTATTTCAGGGTGAAAAATGAACAATAAATTTATTTATAGCCAGGAAGTAAATTCTTGTGAAGTACATTTAAATTTTTACAATTATAAAAAGGAAAGTTGCAAACCTTGAGTAATTTACGGTTGTTGCTGCACGCTATAGATACTCTCGGTTTCAAGCATAAATACTTATGGTTATTTTAATTTGACAAAGAATACTTTTTTATAGTAAGTACCTAGATTTATTCTAGAAATGGTAACAATTTCAGTATCATCTTATTTATCTAATAAATAGTATAAAATATATTGGTGCATTTGCAAAATTTGATAATACCTATGGTACAAGAAGATTTGTATGATAAATTGTTTATTTTTAATATTCATATTATAATTAAAATTGTAACAGTTTGTGTAATTATTTTATTTTGCCAAACCAAGGACAGAATAAATTATAGGAAAAGTGTTCGTTTATCTTTAGGGCATTTGGTACCACACTATCAGAGATATGCCAGATACCTTATAAAATGGAATACAACCTAGAAGATACATTTCAATAACGTATTTGAGATATCAGATACGAGATTTTTTTGGTAATGATATCTGAAATACTAGATACAAAATACGTAAGCTATAAATACTTATTTAAAATAAAATACTTTTCTTCAAACGTTTTATCACGCATTTTCCTTCGATGAGGTCTGATTATCATATCTCCCTAAATGAGAAGAGTCGCTCCATAGGGGCTTGACTTGACAAACAGGTGTTATATTTAAAAACTATTTTTTTATTATAAGATATAAACGTTAAAATTCTTCAGACTGACGTCTTTATTATTTAAGTGGCGGTGCACACGGGCGTTGAATAACGCGTTCAGTTTTAAGCGAATACACACGAGCGTCAAAGATAGAAGCTAGTGTACAAAATGCCGTCGATGGTTGAAACTGAAGTTGTAGTATTTTTTGTCCTTTTTTTATTGTCTACTCCCGTGTGCACCATCACTAAATATTGCAGTCTTTCTAAGTCAATCAATAGAGGAATCAGAGTCATATAAAAACAAGTAATGATTCCTCTTTTGTCTTTTCTTTTACGTCTTCTCCATTGCCGTTTAAAGACTCCGATTTTTGTTTTTCAAATCAATTAATTTTACGTGTTAAGTTCCTTCACATGTTGTTTCTGTGCCTTTGGTACCTATTTCATTTTAAAGAACGGATGTGATACCGAGGCTAATATTGCATCATTTGCTACAGGCTCTAACTGCAAAAACTTTTTAAAACGTCTATTTAGGTTTTCATCGATGACATCTAGCAAAGTTCCGCAATATTTTAGTGTTTCCACTTTAAGACATTTGATGATATAAAATAACGAGCGGTATTGTGTTATTGAAATATTGCGGTGTTGTGTTGACTTTTGTTGTATGTGTAATTATATTATTTTTATCCAAAGTCGTTAACAAAATAAAGATTATTCTGTTTAAATAATTGATATTTTCTGACTACCAAACTAGACTATAAACTAAACCACGCATAATCTTTTGATGGATTGATCAATTAAAATTTTAAAGGAGCATTCAGTTCAAAAAATACATAGGTAGACAATTAGCAGAAGTATTTTAGCAAATATAAATACTAAGATACCGACAGAATGTATCTAAATCCAAGTTACAAAATGAAAATTTAAAAAAAGCATTTCAGATTATACAAGATTAAAATACGTATTTTGAATCTTATATCTGTATTTCAGATATAGTAGAACCTCTTTAAGTCAAACCTCGATAAGTCGAAACCTCCAAAACTCGAAAAATACATATTATCCCTCTATAACTCGAAAAATTAAATTGGACCTCTGTATCTGGAACCTTTACAACTCGATAATTTGAAACTTATTACGTCTATATTTCGAAAAAAACTAAGTTATTGACTTTAAGGATTTGCCGACAATGTAAGTACACCAAATCATAAGTTCTACAAGTCGAATCAAAATCCTCCATAAGTCGAAAACTTGATGTTCGAGTTATAGAGGTTCTACTGTACTTGTATCTAAAATAAGTCACATCACTGCAACCTATCAACGTTTATTTAAGATCGGGAATTACCTGCACGTTCAAATTATTTCTCAAAAAGATTAATAATTTTATCGATATTTTTTGAATACCTTATTACTTGCAAGTATTTTCTATTGACAGTGTTATATAATGAAACACAATAATTTGTGGCGAAGTAGAACTTACGTAGATATACAGAGTGTCTAAATATAAATGGCATCTGTTTTTAATTTGCTAATCGTAAGAATTTGACTCATTGGAATATTTTACATAAACAAATGACAGTAGACGATGGTAAACAAAAATTTTATGGTAATAAATAGAAAAAGACAGTGGTCACTTCGGCCTTCGTAGTGACGCCGATGACGCAAAGCAAAGCATGCTTTAAATCGTACAATGGGTACAATAAACGTATGACGCATACTTGGGCTCCCCTTCCATTGCTCGTTTGTAAAACGATTACAATAATTATTATTTTCACAAGTAGCAACCGCTTTCGTGCAGCAGGTACGTCGAGTTTTATGTGTTGTCGCGAATCGCATTCATTCAGTTACCGTTTTTTCTACATACACACATATGTTTTTAAATAGTTAGTTCATAACACTTATTAACCTAATATGAGGATTAAAAAACCAAAATCTTGCCTTTTATTAAGGCAAAACCATCAAAATCTAACCAGTGAGTTACATACCTACTTTTATTATTTTTTGTTAAAGCATTTGTAACGACAACTTTGCCAGACCTTCGTAGAATGCAACAAATTCCTTACTATAATTAACTGTATAAATTTACTACCTGATTTTGAGGATATGTGTAATAGTATGGCCCTCTTGGGGTAGTATGTGTTTTTTTAACGAACAATTTTTGAAATGTTAATGTAATATTTTATAGGCGCCTGTTGTTGCATATTATACAACCGGTTTTATTTATTAATGCCTAAGAACCATGTACGACAATTGTTTCTTCTTTTGTACCTACACAACTTATTCAATATTATCGCGAGCATAGTAATTTAACTCCCAATATGGCATCCATTGTTTTATTTACGAAATAGTATTATTACATTCGCGTTTCATCATAACGTTAATTCTAATCAATGAGTTCGTTCGGTAATTCATACGATAAGTTGCGAGCACATCCTTTGCGTAGTAAGTGATAATGTTTTTTTTTTAGCTGGTTAGCTCTGTTAATACACATGTAGAAAAATTCAGGATGTTTTACTTCCTTTGGCACCTCACGTTTGTTTTTATCTGAATGAATTCATTCGCGGGGATAACGAACGCAAACACTTCGAATATATAGCAGAAGAAGTGATTCATGCTACGAAACAAGGTCGACATATCCGGTTATTAACACTAAACTATAAAAAATATTCGTTTTCAGTACAAGGGTTGAATTTAGTTGGTATTTTTTTGTTACAGGGGGTCACAAAGAGTTTCATAGGAAACATAAAGAGTTCTGTGAAAGCACGTTAGTTAATGGTTTGTCATCACGTGGTATTCCTTCATCAGCGTCTTGTCCTGCCTTGGCGGACATAGATAATCATCCTGCCTCGCGGGTCCTTCCCTTCTTGTACCTGGGTAATAGTAGAGACGCAGCCGATCTATCCTGCCTTAAAGACTTGGGCACAACGTGTGTCCTTAACGTCACCTCACAACTACCAGGCTACCACGAGAAATGTGGTATCACATATAAACAAATACCTGCCTCTGATTCTGGACAGCAAAACTTAAAGCAGTATTTCGAAGAAGCCTTCGAATTTATCGGTAAGTTTTTTTTTTTGTTTAATTAATTTTTTCTCTTTGTTTTCTTCTCCAGCCCTTAATTGAAGTAAACGTATCAGAGAAAACCATCAGAATTTTTTTTAGACCCTGAGCAATTATCTCTGTTAATTTCTTCCGAGGATATTATGGACTATCGAAAAGGATATGTAATTAAAGAAACTGTATTATTAATTATCTTTTCGATTCTCCAGATGTATTATCGGAACAAATTATCAGTCAATTTTTCCGTTAATTAATTTACTAACAATAAGTGCCTATTTCGTTTGCTGATTCAACATTCAATTACATAACTTATTTATGATTAAATCGAGTATCTTTATCAACAGTTTGCGTAAATGCTGATATTAAAAATATTAGATAATTGTGATAGCAAATACATATAGTAGAAGACGAAAATTATTGTTGTTATTTAAACACATGTGTGTAATTAGTTAATTCCATTGCAAACTGCTGTTAAATTTTTAAACGGAAATGTACCATCATTTTATTCCCCTTTTTACCGCTCAGCTCCCTACATCCCAATAATATGATGCATTTCATCTACCGTATACCAACTTAGGTATGTACGTATGTGGTTCATAATTCCGAACAAGAACTATTACACATTCAAAGACGTATTATAAAAAAATTAAAATCATAAGCTAATCTATACGGATAAATGACTCATAATGGATGAATAATGTAAATCAATGTTTATAATGCATAGATAGTTGAAGGTATTTTCCGATGATTGCGCGTTAGGTAAAAATCCTTTAAAAATTTTTTAGAGTAGTTGTGTACCGTCAATAATGTGGACTTTTTGGACTAAAGTACGTTCAGATCGTTCAGTTTTTTGCCTTTTTAAATTAAAATTCTCCCAAAAATTAAAGCTGAGTTCAATTAACTATATAGAATTGGGGCACAAGANTTTTTATTTTTTTTTAAGTATTAAATAGGTTTCATTAGATATACAATACATACATATGTATTTTTGTAATGTGTATTAATATGCATATGCAGTGTACCAGAAATTTTTTTTAACATTAATATTTTTTTCCTTGACGTACATATTGTTTTACATGTTGTATTCTAAACTCTTTAACTCGAATTTCTCAGTTTAATTTGATTTTTTCTTCGAGGGCGGGTTTTACCGTGTAATTTGTCTCTTAAATTCGAATTTCTATTTTTTGCGGAAAAATTAGCTGCAGCGATAATCAATTGCTTTAGTTTTTATACGGAATTATGTCCGCTATAAATTCTTACTGTCTTATTACGGAAGGCAGGAAAAAAGTCTATTGACCTAGGATTACAAGTTTACAGTAGGAAAAGACATCACGAACGAAGTACTTACATAACATTGTCTGTTATCGTGATCTGAAATTGTAAGTCAAAATTACAATGCTATAATTAAAAAGTAACTAGCGTAACATAACCTAACCTAACCCTAACCTAATATAGCCTAATTACTGATTAAGCTACGTTTTCCTATTTTAGATTAGGTTACGTTAGTTTGTTTTCCATACGGAGGTGGAGTTAGATAGCATTTAAAGCTGTGTGGATGTATTGTACATATGTTATGTATGTATTTGCATTCACAAACAGGAACAAGAAACAAAAATACATATTAAACTAAACTAAAAATCAAACATAAAATTCATCTTGTGGGTGAGATAGATTAATGAAAAAATTTGCATTTACTTACAAAAAATTAATGTAGTGTAGTTTATTATTAAAAAAATGAAGCAATCAACAGGATTGTTATGTATGTATGTATTTAAAACCGTTGGGATTGTAATATTTCTGGGAACTTATTCTTTAGGATGTTTTGAATGAGAGCTATATGTAAAAAAAGGGTCTCCTGCTTTCTAAAATCTTGTTCTACCCTAACAATAGTCTCCAGTAGGCAAAAATATTTTTGGAAAGAACTCAAAATATCGTCTATTTGGACCCCTTCACCCTTCGTTACGTTTTCTGCATGATTTATTACTATTAATGATAGCATACCAACACATATTAATAAAGCAAGAAGATACATAAAATAAAAAAGAAAATGTTAAGAAAACGATTAAAATAAAATTAATGAAGTTCAAACATCACATTTCCTTAAACCCTTGTTTCCCTTTTTAAATATCTCTTTACACTAATAAATGCTCCAAAATGTGTATGATTGTAATGTAAATAGGTATTTTTGGACTACAAATTTTTTTTGGTAGATTATTTTTGATTTTTTTCTGTCTTTAAAAATTGAAAATTTTCGCGCTAAATGCGATTAAGTCTTAATATGTATTACATTCAAACGCTTATTCATTTTATTTATGTATACAATCTGCTGCTGTGTCAACACTGCCGGACTTTTCAGTAAGAATGAATAATATGAATGGCGTTTTTTCTTCTTAGTGCAAGTGATTAATTAGATTACACGCAATGAAGTTATTGTTCAGCACAAAAATATTCTGCTAGACCAGCTGGAATTCCTGTGTAATTGCTGATTTAATTTTTTTTTAATTCTCTACGTTTCCTAATATGTGGTAATTAATTGCATTTGCGTAATTTCACTCGAAAGACGCGATGATTTAAATGTTTGTCGGGTTTATTCATTATAACACAATTTATAAAGAAAATAATTTCATTTTTACGTCTTTTTAACTGCCTAAGATTTTTGTAATTGTTATATTATTTTTCTACCGTATTGAGTAATACCCAATTATAATACAAAACTTTTAAGATTTGTTTGTTATATGTACACATATAATACAACTAAGTATAGGTATATTAATTTTGAATATTTTTAAAGTAGAAATATCCATATGACAATAATAAATTGACACCCTGTATAAATAGGCCGACTGCTGTGACTCACACGGTTGTACACGGATACGCGAATATAGACGTAGGTACACGTGCCTATTTGTTTGTGTGTGTTTGACGGGCAACGGCCCGCTTGATGAGTAATACCTTTGAATGACTCAAGCCGTTGACAAGGACGATCTCGGGTTTATATAGCTGCTCAGCTGTTGGCTTTGCTCCCGCCATGCTAGCCAACCAGCTTTTGTCGTTACATTACGCTTCCCATACGTATAAATATCTATCTATACAGTTACTCACAAAATAAGTATAAGGAACATTTTCATGTTTTTTTTTTTTTCAAAACCTGTCTTAAAAATTAAAAGAGTTATTATTTACCCTATGTCATATTGTTCATGGCATAAGTTATGAGTATTTGATCCTTTATTAAGTAATTAAATTTTGAGAGTGCAATTTTTTTCGGGGTCCTATCGTTTGTGAGTGACTGTGTGTACCTATCGAACTGCGTACATACAGTAGCCATTCATAACTTTGTAGGGTTGAGTCTGTGGTGTGCATTATCTCTTACGGTACATAATACGTAAACAAAGGCCTAATTGAATTATTAAACTGTTTATTTGGCTTACGATACGGGAAATGACTAAAGGCGGTCAGAATGAAATCATCGCGTTACTCAGATTTTATGAAGGGGTGCGCACCCTACGTCATCGTAATCGTAGCAATCATCTCTTGCGAGAGGATATCACGTCATTTCTAAATTGGGGGCTCCAATAATGGTTAGAATATCAATGATGAGAAACTAGGTATAAACCATTTAAATAAAAAAGAGACTTGGTATAAACATGAACCATTTAAGTAAAAAACAAAGGTCACAGGACTTCTTCATTTTTCTTTCTATCCAAATTTGCTTTTTATTTTTTTTTAAGTATTAAATAGGTTTCATTAGATATACAATACATACATATGTATTTTTGTAATGTGTATTAATATGCATATGCAGTGTGATATCATAACCAAAAGGGGGGATTAAAAGTTAAGTTATTTACTTTTTCAAAAAACAACCGCCAATTTTTCGCCCTCTTTAATATGTGAATGTATTGTGGAGTAGTACGAATAAAACCACAGTGAAATAGCAAAGAAAAATAAACGTAGTATTTAACAAAAGTGTACCCCTATATTTTTTTTGTGTACAAAACATCAAAATAAACGACGAGGGAGAATTGTGAATTCTTCACTATTCGCCGCTGATATATCTTCCGTTTAAACAAATCTGCGTGCTGCCGGGTCTAAAAGTAGGCGGCCAATATTTGTATAAATAGTTTTTTTAAATAAATTGCAAAAATGGAAATTTTTGGAGATTTTTGAATAATTTTGACGAAAAGATTCTTTTTCTAGGTATAAATTACTTAGTTCTAAAAAACAAAAATGGTCATTTGCAACCCTGAAAAAGAATATGAAAGACCAATAATTTTATTATTGCTAAAGTGCTTAGATATTACCCGTCCCTTAACAAATTCCAAAAGTGTTTTAGGCGATTATGTTATTGCAGCCCTTTGCTTTTTAATTGTTAATGTTTTCATGCTAATGCTTTTATAATAACCAAATGAATATGTGCAAAACTTTCTAACTAGGTATTGTATTCTTGAATGCAGATTTTGCTATAAACAAAATTGTTTAATCATCAATATTTTTGTAAAAATGAAGGAATCTTAACATCATTAAAAAAAACATATTTATGGCTAATATTAAAAGATTTTCATGTTAATTTTCAATTTGGAGTATGTGTAAAAATATGAGATCAGAAACAATAGATTTGCAATAAAATAATTGTCTAAAACGTTTTTGAAATTTGTTACGGGAAAGGAAAAATATTTAAGCATTTTTACAACTAGATTTTTGGTTTTTCGTATCGTTTTGTAGGGTTGAATACTTCAATGAGATCATTTTAACGTTTCCATTCCATAGCAAAATAAATAATGCTTGCAATTGGTTTAAACATATTTTGATCTGGGAGTATGTAGATTTGTTTAAAGGGGACTATTTTGAGTAAGACTAAGAATCTCTCCCAAGAGCATAATAAAGTTGTAAAAGTTCGATTATGTGAACAAATAAAAACGTTTATAAATTGGAATTGTTCATATAATCAAAATCAAAAGTTGAAAACAATAATTTTATTTCTTATTAAAATACTGCATTATTTTTTTTTGAACTTTTTTGCAGTTAAGTTTTTCTACAAAGCTTTGTCCCTGTATTTTCGCAATACCAATTGATTCTCAATACTAATAACCTTATTAAATACATACTTGCATAACATCTGATGAACTAAATTCCACCTTTTCATTATTTTCATTCCTTTTGTTAGATAGTGTCAATAATTTTTATTTAATGTTTTTCTTTTACAAACAAACAATTGTGTAAATAACAACAATAATTAATACTCTGCTAGTTAGTCGCAATAAATAAATACATACATACATACATATGTATACTGTAAGCTATGAATATTGAAATCCAACTGATGAAGTTTCTGAGAAAATACCGAAAAAAGCTGTTTATTTAATCGAGGTTGCCACTGTTCATTTGTGTTCATTGTAATGGATATAAAAGATGTTCACACAACCGAGCGTCTACTGTATTGTTTTCTGTAAAATCTTTAACACTTATTAAATTGAATGGGATTAAAATTTAGCTTTTTAAATTCCTTTTCGTATCTGAAAGAAGAAATTGAATTTCAAGTGCCTATTTAAGTAAAAAAAATGCTTTACGCGCTATTTATAATTAGGGTTAGCATTCAAATTTTTAGAAAGTTCGGAGATCGTTCAAATAAGTCTGAAGACATCTATTTAATAAATATGTAAATGTACAAAACAAAAAAAAAAGCTCACTCGTTTTTGGGGTAGTTAATAAATAATCAACTAGTAAGTACATTAATTAATTAGTCAATTAATTTAAATATTTTAAGTACCTCACTCTGTAATGTAAGTAGAGAATTAGTATAGTAACTACATTGTGTGTGGCATTCAATAAGAACATTGCCGATAAACGAAAATAAAATTTTGTTTTTTAAAAAATGTACTCTGGAGAGAATTTGGTAAAGCTATTCATAATCGAGTAAAATAAAGTAATTTATTGAATAAATTTTATTTAAAATTGTTCTATATAAAATAAAAGTACGAGTGACGATGAGCTTATTGTTTGGTAGTTTTATATACCGTTATAGTGGATTTTTTTCTGTTAAGTATCTTTTTATAACGACATATTATCAAGCAGCACTTACTTTAAGGATTATGTATCTACGACCTAGTATTTGCACAATTATAATCAAGTGGTCTACCATCGTTTTATCCTTGGAGAACCCCCTTAGAACAACGTGGCCTATTTAACATTTTTGAAAGTAAATTTTTATAGAAGTTTTATTTTAATTTTATTTCTTATTTAAAATCATCTGAAACAGTAATTGTGGGCGGGTTTGTCATTCATTCAAGCTGTCTATTACTTTTTGAGTCCTACTATTGCATGTAGTTAATTGGATGTTTCTGTTACCTACATGCAATATTTTTTACACTAAAAATCTTCAGTTTTAATATTAAAAATGCACATTGCTCAGGTATCAACCCCTCTTACCGTAAGTGGTTTGGAATAACCTTTTACCAAATCCCCTCCCCCTCATACTGAGACATACCGTTTATGCACAGCTACTCCGTTTTGTGCCTTATTGACAAGAATGAAATAGGTAACGCATTAATTTTTATTCAGATAATAAAACTCATATACATAGGTAGGAAGATAATTAAACAGCTTTTGTTTTTAATATATGTATTTTTTACAGAAAAGGTTTATTAGTGTGAAAGGAATTACCCCAAGCATTACTTTTAATAATTTTAATAGGAAAATTTTTACTTAAGATATTCGGCAAAATAGAAAAAGGCTGGAGATGAGAAATTTTCATTAGAAATTAAGATTAAGTAGATGGATTTCGTAATAGATATTTTTTCTTAATTTCAGAAGAAGCAAGGAAAAAAGGAACACGCGTTCTGGTTCACTGTCAGGCGGGGGTTTCCCGTAGTGCAACGATTGCAATTGCATACATCATGAAGTACAAGCATTTGTCTATGATAGAAGCTTATAAGCTAGTAAAGGCTGTAAGGCCAATTATCTCACCTAATTTAAATTTCATGGGACAATTAATGGAGTTAGAGCAGAGTTTACGGGGTGGAGACCCTGAATATAAGTCACAGTGTCACCCTTGTCGCTGGAGTCAGCAGCCCAGCGACGAAATATCTCATGGCTGCAGTGTTTAAGTGTAATTAAAGGACGTTGTTTTCGGTGGGAATGGAGCTGTATAGTGTAAATGTGCAAAGAATTTATTGCCATTCATGTTAAATCTAGTCGCATATTTGGGATTAAGGCTGTGTAACCAGAAAAAGATATTGTAGATAATCCTCTTAAGAAACATAAGCTCATTACAAAGTCTATTTTGTATAGTTTAGGTTGCAGCCTGTTGTGGGTTTGTAATAGATGTCTTTTTTTTTTTTCAAGAAAAAGCCGCATCAAGTTGATCGAAGAGTGCTTTTTTACTTTTTTATTTTTTTTTTATCGTATTAAAATGTATTGTAGCACAAGTGGAAAATGATTAATTTGAAAAAGAATGCCAATAAGTTACTTTATTATTTTTAAGTTAATTTTCTGGTGCGGTTTTTTCTTCCTAAACATATTTCCTTATATTTATTTTATGTTTTCACTTAAAGTGTTGTGTTGAATTATTTAAATTCGTTCCAAGTTTGTGTAAAAGGTGTTCATTTATTTTGAAAATATGTACGAACCACGTGAATTTTTAGGGCTGTGCCGTACTCACGCTCACTACGATTATGTATAAATACATATAAACATATGAAACGTGGATAAATACTAATGTTTGTACATTAACAAAAAAAAAAGAAACAGTGTAGCAAAATTTTATGTACTGTTTAGATTTACCCTAGTGTTCTAATGGGGTATAAATTTATTAGAAAAAAACAACATTTAACTACATATTATGTTTTGTACTCCAATTTGGTCAAACTAAACTAAAGAACTACCTTAAAATTTGTATGTTTTATTTCATTTACACACTTATCCTCATACAGGAGGTAAGTGAGTATTACCTGCCATTATATTTTAATTACATTATCAGCTCCCATTCGTGACGCCTGTGTGGTTTGTTGATATCATAAATACAGAGTTATCACCAAAAGAAGCCATACTCTATAGACAAAACCTACGTTTTACAGTATCCAAGTAATTTAAATATACATTTCGAAAATCGCACAATTATATTTCAAATTTGCATTTTAATGCATTTTGTTCAATATTTATTTTTTAACCGCAAGCTTTTATTGTTTCATATTAATATTTTGTATTACAGCGAATGTTTTTCTTNACCGCAAGCTTTTATTGTTTCATATTAATATTTTGTATTACAGCGGTTTTTGTATTTTTTAAATATAAATTAGGCGCACTTTTTAATTTTTAAAAGTAAAAAATTTTGAATTATAGTGGGGTTATTCATTTTTGCCACGTTTAGTGCAGGCTTAGCTTGCCACCCTGGATCTACTTATGACTAATTTTAAAGAAGCGTGCCGGTCGATCTCTTCTTTCGTGGTTTTTTGGTAAAAATGTTATAAAAAATTTAATGTGTGTCGTTTGTACTGTGTTTTAAATATCATTAATAGAATATACGTTTTTTTTAACAGCATCGTAAACGAAATCGGTTATTAAACATTATGTGTGTTTTGTGTAGCTACTGCAGGTCTATGAGGTTAGGCGAAAGGTCCAAGATCTCATGTGGCAACAGGTAACGGCCATCTTTGTTTACATGCTTTGATTTGTTGGTTAGATATTTCGAATTTTATTTTTATTGTTTGCGTGGACAAGACCAAATGTTTTCATTTCTGGTCCACGTTTATGTAGTGTTTTATTTTGTTCAGTATGTATTTCTATATTCGCTGTTTTACTTGTTTTTATTTATGTATTTTACTATTGAGAGGTTTACGATTGTTTATTTGTGGTGATAGGTAGGTACTTGAAGTGTATACTGTAGCAATTTTAACTATTCATTTTGTCTTGAAAAAAGCTATATATTTGTCATTTTTAAATACCCAACTTCTAAATAAAATTGTGCTAGTTGATGCCTTCACCCTTAACGTTCGGGTTTAAAAGACGGTTAGTCGATAGATCAAATCATTTATGCACCTATGTTCCTAATATTAATTGAGATAAAGCAATTGTTTAAATAAATTAAATGGTGTATGCAACTGAGTTTTGAATGTTATTATTTTTAACGCAACTATGTGATTTGAAATAATTACAATAATTTTACACTTACATTTTATTTGTTTTTTATGGTTTTAAATGATGAACAACAATGATAATCAAATAAAATAAATTCACTATAGATTACAAAACATGATGAAACATTCAACAAAGAGGCACGTATAGTACTTTAAAACGATAATTTTTAACAATCAAACAACAACAGAAGTTGTCACTATAAAAAGAAGACAGTTAAGTACGAATATGTTCAAACTGGAGTAGAATTTTTGATTTCATTTGTATATACATATACCATAAGTTTAATGTAAATAGATAAATTTTAATACTTCAAGGTACCTTTAAGGCTATGAGATCACTAGTAAACACTATCTTACTAAGGACAGTGAGTTGGTCATAAATATTTTCATTAAGTTGCAGTTTTTCCACTGTCACTTACTAAGAGCCTGTCTTTCAGACTTCTACCTGTATTAATTATAGATAATATTTTAATCCTATCACCTCAGTTTTCTTAGGTCTTCATTTAAAATTAACTTTTTATTATTTAGTATTGCTCAATTTTAGATTTCAGTAATATGAAATGCAAGCTACAGAATAAGTAATCAAGTAATTTTACAGTGTTATGTCATTTAATACACATAAGTACAACTATAAATCGAAACAACATTATACTATTTATCAACATTTATAGATATAATTTAAAACAGAACTACCCACATAGTTCCGTTTTTTTAGTTTGAATAAGGGCAACAATTGCTGTAGAGACAGTATTTAATGCTGAAATGGACACATTATCGCATTGTGATATACAAAAGTGAGCACTTGCACCTGATGAAATATTATTTTCAATTAAAAAGAAACTGATAGTATTTTGGCGACTGCAGTGTTTTATCTCTTAGACTATCACAGTCCGTGAAGTCGACAAGCTTTTGTCATAAGTACTAGTTTAATTAGTATTCTATATTACTAGAGTAAATGAGTACCTCTTTGGTAGAATCACATTAAAGTGACTATCAACTACAATAGAAATGTCGATCGGTCTTTAACCTACAGTTTTTAAATCTACACTTTTTTTGAATTTAGTTGTTTCATTTTATGAATAAATTGTAATTACTTCACGCCCGCCTCCTCGAACCATTAGTACTTTTTCTAAGCCTTCAGTTAACACTTCTAAAAATTCCATATCTACAAACAACACATGATTAGAAACCAAAGACGACTATAATTATTGGATTTACTATTGTTACAGCAATTGTCCGTAATTAATTTTTTGTATAATGCAGCGAATTAGAAATAATCAGATAACTTACAGTTTGATTCTCTTTCGAGTTTTGTGTCCTTCGGGGGACCAGGAAGGTTCAAAATCACCAATTGAGCGTCGTGCGAGCGATTGACAATAACTTCATTTAACTTAATTGCGGTGTGCATACGCCTTACATTGGCTTCATCACTACAAAAGAAATAAAGGAAACCGATTGATTAATCTATTAATAATAATATAAATTACGTCTAAATAAATGTAGGCTTTGTTGCAATGCAACAACTTAAAGAGTTTGCGAAACGATGACGTTTCAGCAACGGTTATATAGGACATCGTCAAAATGCTTATGGAAAGCAATCCCAGAAAATCCAGTTGTTGCATATTTGATTATTGCATTGTGTGTGTATATATTATGTATAGTCACCGAAAGTGGAGCATTTTTTTGAAGTTATTGGGTGGGTAGGTATTGCATGACGGATATTATTATTTTTATCCACTACTAATGCACTTTAGCGTATACTTACGGTGTAATTGAACGTGTAATGTTTCCATTTTCTATTACATCTTGAGCTTCCCTTTCCTTTTCTGAGCAATCTTCTTTCTCTTTTTCACAATATTCCCCTATCTCGACAGCATTGGACTGAAAAACATATTATTATGCGATATAAGTTAGTAGGAATTTAATTAATGAATATCTACTTTTTGGACAATTTCATTATCAGTTACTTTTTCTGGTAGTTCTTCTTCCTTTGGCTCCTGGAAACGCACCTTTGTTGTCCGTGGATCAGCAATTTGAAGGTGATGGTGATCAACAATAGATTGTACCTGGATTGAATGTACATAAAGTGATTAGCATTTTTGTCGTTGTATTAATTCAAAGCTTGGTTTCAATTTAAGGTGATTTTAAATTTTTTTCGTCATTTGAAACCAAACTCTATGAAATAAATCATTTATTTATTAAATCAGTGTGTGGAAATGAGAGGATAAAATTCATGGTCAATGATCGCAATGATATATGAGTGAAGAGATAAACGAATATATAATTTAAAATGGCAATGTGAAAACATAAGGTGTATCAAATTGAGATGGTAAAATTGATTAAAAACATGCAACAACTCAGGGAAACCATGATTTCACACGATGATAACATGATCGTTACCAGCGGTTCGTTTTCTTCGGATGATAAATTTTGGAAATCCACCAAGTTGTCTACCTTGTATGTTAGGCACAAAAATATTGATAAGTAGGTAACAAGTATCAAAAACGAAAATACAGTATCGTATAAATACACATACTTATATATGGATATACTTACAATGCCTAGGCTCTCTTTCTTATTTAGTCTTAATTCTCGTAACATTTGATTACGTTGCTCCATCATTAAGGTACGCTCATAAGTGTAGGCTGAAATATCACTGTCAACCTGTGTAAAATAGGTATCTAATTATTTTACATGTTTAACGACGATTTTCATATAGTCAAATTACCATTTCAACTACTTCCACTTCGCCCTCAATTCGAAGATGATACAAGAACATTTTTAGATCTTTTTTCATTTGGATGGAATTGTCTTCCATTTGGGCTACCGTGAATATTCTGAGTTTACAATTTTTCCAAGTACGATGCTGCTTGAGAAGGAAGGGTAGTAACATGAGCAGGCCCCCGTCGTGTACTATCCACCATATATCGATATTTCCAGCGACCTTTTCTGTAGAATCGGGGAAAAAATTAATGCCTTTAGGGACTAAAAGGGCCATTTTGGCAGCCGCCACTATTCGCACTGTTTCCAAAAATACCCTCCACGAGCGTTCGTCTTCGTCTTTTCTCCAGCTGTATGGCCATCCCAGAATGACTGTGTTTGGTCTCATTCCTCCCAAACCGCTTGTTTGTACCCTTTAAAAATGTAAAACTTTGCAGAATGTCAAAAGAAATTTGATTCAGAAAAACTTACGCATGTGAAATGCCTTCTGTTATATCTTTAGCAATCAGAATATCGACGAAGCCCTTTACTTTCTCTTCTTCCAAAATTTTGGTCAAATTACTTTTCGCCTGCTGTGCTTCGCTGTAGGATTTAGCGAAATTTCCTTGAATGATGGACGCGCAAACGCTTAATCCTTTCCCTGAAATAGCGGAAGAAGTGGAGTATGTTTTTGAATAATTTTTAACGAAGGTAGTCGTACCTGCTTTAAGTTGAGAGGCAAAAGCAAATAATTTTCTATATTTAGGAACTAAGTCCTCAGTGAGTTTAGCGAGTATAAGAATCTGCGGCCTCCAATTTTTAGTATGTGGAGAACCTTCATCGAGACGTAGCAAGGAATATCTAGCTGCAGACAACGCTAAACCACGAATACCATCTCCCCATTCCTTTTCAGCTCTACAAAGAAATAAAATAAGGGCACCTGTTTCGTAAAGTAAGACAATATAGTAAACACTCACCCTCTATATTCGATATACTTATAAATCACTCCGGCCATGCCCATTGCGATCAACGCATAATACCAAGATGTCATGAACATTACCGATATACACAACGCCAGTCCAAGAACTGATAGAGACCAGTGATAATACCTGAATCTTGGTCTCCAGTTTGGAGTACGCAATAATGTTTGTAGTGCGCAAGCTAAATTGACAAATCCGTAACACATCAAGAAGAACATCGAAAGCAGTGGTGCTAGATAATCTACGTTTCCTAGAAGAATGCCACACTGACATATCAGTAAAGTGAGAACGAGGGCTCTCGTTGGTTCGCCACGACTAGAAGAGACGGCAAACGGCGCCAAAAATGGAATAATTTGATCTTTAGCGATCGCTTGAAGAAGTCTAGGTGCTCCTGTAAGTGACTGTAAACCGGCACCGAGAGTAGAGAGAAACGAACCTATCAAAATGACCCACTCATTTGGCCATGCGATATTTGCAACCACTAATTTTCCACCTATGGAAACACCAAATCTGAAATAATTAATTAGTGATAAATACCATGCAAACGGTTGGTATTATTTTTGACTGACTTGTCACGGAGTAGAAGATTATCTACGGTACCAGCAAATAATAACACTGCCGAAAGATAAACTGTGGATGTCGTTAATATGGAACATATTGTTCCGATTGGGATAGATTTTTGGGCATCTGCAAGGTCCCCTGAGCGGTTGGAGCCCGCCATTATACCGGTTACTGACGGGAAGAAGATACCAATGAGTATGGTAAATGATGTAGTTATATCTGCAAAGACTTGGTTGTATGTCGGTTGATCCAATTTTTCTAAGTCTTCTGGGTCACTTCCGTATGCAATAAATTGGCCTCTTTGAAGGAAATTTGAATGGACGTTGTCTGTGAAAGTTCATTTATGATATTTTCTTTGTGACCAAGTGAAATCGTTTCGCTTTTCGTACCTAAGAAAACGCCTGATGATAATCCTTTTATACCTCGCACTTTGCTAACGTTGTGGCTTCTGTAGTATGGATCACATTTATCCATGTTGGTTGTATTACCGCAGAATATTTGATGCAGTGGTCCGTTTAACTCCTTGTTACAGGATTCCAGAGGAATATCTTTTAGTAGACGTTTACCAAGAACGCACATTCTATAATATAACACAGGTTTTTATTTCATGAAACTGAATAGAAAATTTATACTAACTGTAGCTTATCATTTCCATTTACGTTAACGAATATTCCGATATAAACGGCGAGAATGGATAGAATAACGCATGCTAGAGCGATAGTTGCAAATTTATTGACAAATTTTACACCAACAAATACTATCATTCCCATAACCAAAAGAAGACCCGTTCCATAAACTCGAAAATTGTTGTACATAGCACTTGCGTCTTTTGTAAAGTCTCCAAATATTGACAGACTTGGCGCCATATACGTCTGAAATTCTCTGAATATTATACAACTTCCTCAAATACTGTATCATGTTTTTGAAAAATGTAGCTCGTAAATTTTTATATTTCAAACTGTTTCAAATTATAATAATTTTATACGTACAATGTACATTTGTTATTTTTTGTCAGGCTATTCTGCTGAGATTCATTGAACCTCTCTCTTCCAGTTTCAACCAACATCGGCCGTGAAAGCCCAGCAACTATACATACTTAAGTTTAATTTCAGTATCTAAAATTTTCATTCTGCGTAAACACGTAACTATCGCATATTTATAAATTGGCAGAACTCCCAATAATTTATTTACATTATTTTTTTAACATTTCAAGTTAACAGACTGTTCGCGAACAAAAGAAAATAGATAAACAATTACCTCCTGAAAATTCGTCTGACAAAAACATCGGTGTACCTATTATGTATATTAATTCGTTAGAGACTTTTTTGTCAACTCAGCGAGTAGGTACTCTAATGAATAGAAAGCATTCACAGAACTATTGATTTAATTTTTGCCGCTGTATTCGTTGAGATATACTCGAAACGTAGTAGTACAGAATTACAAGTGCTTTAAAGTATTCAATAAAACACGAAATATCCTGATGGTTTTGATTTCACGAACTGTACCAATGTGCAGTTTAAACCGTTGTAATTGTAACTTCTGTTTTTGAACAGTGATTTATAATTGTCACTTACAGAAAATCATTTTCAATTATCCTACACTGTTCAAGTAGTGGCATATAGGTAGGTAGTTTTAGTTTCTCTATATAGAAGTCCTTCTTATACAATAGTAATATTGGTTAAAATGAAATTGTAAGGTATTTCCTGGAATAACGAGAAGCTGTCGAACATTTTCTTGAATATAATTCCTTTTTTGACTCAAAGCCATTAGGAGTGATTAAATAGTAAAGTGACTTTGTCTGAAAGCATTTATCATCTGAATGGAAGGTAAAATCTATATAATTCAGTTTTTCGGATGATTACCCCCTCAATGCAAAACTTTCCTTTGTTACCCCTAGACCTTTGCAAAAGTTTGCAATTAGCGATTTATTCGAAACGTTGAGTGCTATTTTTATTTGAATTTATTTATAACTGTAAGTCTTTCAGGATTATTAATAATCCATTGTTAAATTTAATTTTGAAGTAAATGGAAAATGTTCTGAGATACTAGATAAGTATCAGTAATAAAATATCAATCGATTTAGAATTTGAATTGAAATTTTAATGTTGAAAATCACGCGTCTGATGTGAGTTAATTATGTTTGGCAAGGAAAGTTGAGCGTAAAATGAAAGATAGTAGAAAGTAATTTCCGAAGTTCTAAACCAGTGTGTTCAATTATTGGTTTTGTCCTTCATATGTCACATTGTTGAAATTTCAGAACCATTCCGCTGTCCGATCGTGTCACTTGCAATACTCGTCCAGTAGTTTTTAGAGGTTAATTGTTCACCAATTAATGCCATTTAGTTCTCTGGATGCGTTGTCATTATTTATATTCATTCTTGTTAGAATTTAAAAGTTCTGTTTTGAATAAATTTTGTAATTATTTTTTCAACGTTTCTTACTTAGATATATATTAAGTTGGTTTTCGGACTGACTGTTACCACGTTGTCTATTTATTTCCCTTAACGTTTCGAGGGTCATATCGCTCTCTGCTTCAGAAGGCTGTCTTACTACAATATAATGTCTACAAAAACCACATTGTAAATGATACACATATGTTTTGTGCGGATTATTTCCGTTTTCCTACCTCTTTTGTTGTCGGAATTAACTGTTCTTGACACAATTTTCAAGTGCTGTACAAAAGTGTTAAACAAAAGGGCCTTAACGGTGCCTCCTCACATGGGCGAAACTTTAACTTAGTATATTAAGTCGGCAAATATATAAAAATCAGTAGATATTAAATAATTAATTTAATAAAAAGACAAAAAGAAAGCTTCTCCGTGCCTTTCTACAAAAGGAGAATTATCGAAAAAAAAAAATGAAATTTTATGCCACTCAAAGAGGAAGTTTGAAATAATGACCCTCTGAGCTGAGAACTAAGTCAGAAGGAAAAAGGCTCAATAAATTAGCCGATACGAATGTTGAATCTTTAAACTTTGAAAATAATTTAATTTCCTACAAAATTAACCTTGGAACAATTTCCAAAACTCAGTTCAGTAAAAAATGAAAGCTATTTAGGTAAACAGAATAATATTTTTTTTCAATTATATTTTGATGGAAAAGTAAAATTCCAAGAGAAGAGCCCGCAATAGGGTTGCTGATTTTTCGCTCTATCATATTGTACAATGTATAAAAAAAAGAGTTCAGATGACAATGTCAGAGGAGAGCCACATTTTCCGTAAAACTTGACCTAGCACTGCTGCAATTTTAAATCATACCAAAACAATTTCAACTGCTCCTACAATGTACATGGCAGCTGCTAGAGTGGTACCGGTGTAGAAGAGCATCCCTACAGCACCCCCAAACTCTGGCCCCAATGACCTGGATATCATAAAATAACTCCCCCCTCCAGGTACAACGCCATTTGTGGCAATTGCTGACATAGAGATGGCAGTTAACATGGTTACACAACAACAACAAAAAACAATAAGAAATCCTGAAATAGCCCCAGCTGTGCCCACCACCCATGTAAGACGGATGAAAAGGATAACACCAAAAATATTCTGGATGCAGGGAAGGTACACCCCAATGAGGGTGCCCATACGAGCTGCCGGTTTTGCATCTGGATCGGCCGATGCTGGAGGAATTGTATTTGAATAATCGGCAAGGGAACTTATCAAAGTTGATATCGGAGGACGGTCATCTTTTTCTTCCTGTAACGGTGTGACCATATTATGTAACACAATGGTAACAAAAGCCGTATCATTTTTACCGAATAAAGGTACAGGTTGGTATCATATCCAGACACCTTTTCTGACGTGGTCGTGTCATCGAGAGCATCACCTAAAAAACAGAAAACATTTTTTAGCTCACAATCAGAAAACGTAGTTGTACAACTTCATAATTTTTTGTTTCTTTTGATTTGTTCTTGATCTAACTCAACAGTTAGTTTATTTCGGGATCAAATTAAAAAAGTATATTTTTAAAACAGTTTTCACTTTCATATCGTCGATAAACTCATCGTATTTCCCGTCGTTTGGAATGAAGTGTATTAATAACAACTAGAAAGTGAATTTATAACTTTCTCGATTATCTTAAACTTCTGTTTTAATTAAGTCTATTAATAACTTAACATCTTACGATGTAATTATTATCCATTCACTCTATTATTATTATTCATTACCTGTACGTTCAGTTACAGCAAATTTACCTCTTTATTTTCGGAATTCTTTTTGAAAATTTCACTTACTACAACTTACTTTTAGGAATCGTTATTTTATTGTGTTCGGATGGCGTTTGTAATTTTGATGAACGGCTTTTTTCATAATGTTTAAGCATAACATGATGGAATAATAAGTTCAGAGATGTAACTTTTTCACATCGCTGATAATATACAGCATCATTTGTCTCAATTTGAAAGCAGCAGCTTGTTATCAATCATTTTTGTTTCGTTTCCTACGTAATTCCGGATTTAACTTCCTGCAAGTTACATATTAGTTCTGTACCATTTAAATTAAATATGATGATAACAATCGATCTCATGTTTTAAAACGGAAAGTTTACTTTTATTATTATTCAGGTTCACGTTGCCAATAACTCGATTCGAAATTTATAACTAGCTCTAGTGTAGGCGGCTAACTTATGAATTTTAATGACACCTATCCAATGAGTTTTGTAATTACACTTACAATAGATTGCCAATGTGCATTGTTTTCGATTTATCAACGAATTGTTCGAATGTAGACATCAGCTTAATAATTCTATCAAACCTTAATCCATACTATCATTTCGACAGATGTTCCGCTCGTGAACGAACCAATGAGCAATAATATTTCTTTGTCATATACATTGCCACTCTGTTCTTTTTGTTGAAACAAATCATTTCGAAGAAAATTCGATTTCTTTAATATCTGTTAGGTATATTCTGTGGGGTGGGAAAGTGTAATTTTCATGGTTTATGGCATTAATTTCAAGTCCTGGTGTGTTCTTGAGAAACATTTTAAAATACATTTGGAGTGTTTCGCATTATTTTTATTAATAAAGAACATTAAATGTTTAAATTAATACTTTATTATTAAGAATACAAATGCTTTTTATTAATAATGAGAATTTTGTAGGGTTTTAAATACATTAAAATGAATTAATTCCTACCACTACAAATAACTTCACATTAAGGCCTGCCGCGCATTGCGATTTTTTAGTCGCAAAAAGGTAACACAGGCTAGTAAATACAAGTGCGCAAATATGCGACTAAATAATCGTTGCGATTAAAAAATCGCCACCTGTCCTATTTTTCTTGCGGCGCGATTGTCGCGGATGCAGAATGAATCGTGCGGACAGCAACGAACCGCGCGCATTTGCGACTAAAGTATCGCAACCCACTGATGATCATCTGCTATTTTGTACATAATTAATAAATACATTGTGGTTATCAAACATGTCATGTTATGAATCCTCTGTTACAAAGGAAGAAGAAACAACACATAGTGTTTTGGATATGATAAAAATTGCATCCGAAATTGAAAAAAGAAAATTGCCTAATTTACTAATCTCTGATTTATGATGGGAAGGAACCAATATTGTTTCTTCTGCTTCCTTTTAGTATTACCAGCATTTATTCGCAATAAGAATGCTATTATACAATTTATTGCTGTGACGCTCATACTGCAAATGACTAAAAGCTGCGATTGTTTGGTCGCAAGTGCGCGTATCGGCTTTACTTCCTTCGACCGTGACTTAATCGCGGCGACTAAAAAATTGCAGTGCGCGGTAGGCCTAATGAGGAAAAGTTATTCCTGTTGTCACGCCCTCGCCGGGAAACGAACCCGTGTCCCCGGTTTTACGCACCATTGCTCTACCGCTTAACTTAAGAGAGGTGATGCTGCTGTAACCTTTTGTAGCTTAGTAGTAGAGCATAGATGTGTGAAGCCAGGGACTCGGGTTCGATTTCCGGCGAGGACGTGACAGCAGCAGCAATTTTTTTTTCATTAATTTCAGGTTATCTGTAGTCGTAAGAATTGATTCAAAAATTAATTCACTTTAATGTACAAGTGTTTTTCTTTTGATTACATTAATTTATTGTTATGATATACCTATGGGAAATTAATAAGTTAATGAAAAGACGAAGTAAATTCAAAATAAATTAATATTTTGAGGCTTCAGTTAGATTAGGACAGTTTTTCAAAAAGCAAGTGATATGTTTGAAAAAACATATTCCATACGAAATTATGCGACAAAAGAAAAAAATGCCGACAAAGAAATGTTTTTAATTTCTATCTTAGGTAAATGTTTTGCCTTATTGATGATGTACTATTATTAATACTATTCAAAGAGAAAGAATTAGACATAATAATAAGGTTGACACATTGGGTATCGAAAGCAGTTTTTGGTTCTTTAACGTTTTACGAGGGTGGATTGATAAGTTTCCGGCCTGACCAAGAAAAACAAGGTTTTTAAAAATTTTTTTTTTTTATTTCTCAACATAATCTCCTCCAAGGCTGATACATTTCTCATAGCGGTGTTCCAGTCTATTAATGCCATCTCTATAGACTGATTCGTCAAGCTCCTCAAAATAACCATTTACAGCTTCGATTACTTCTTCATTGTCCGCAAATCTCTTACCGCCAAGCCATTTTTTGAGATTAGGGAACAGAAAATAGTCACTCGGGGCTAGGTCTGGAGAGTAAGGAGGGTGCGGCATCAATTCAAACTTTAGATCGTTGATTTTAGCCGTCGCAACGATTGACGTGTGCGCTGGTGCGTTATCGTGATGAAACAAGATTTTTTTCTTCGCCAGATGAGGTCGTTTAATTTTCACCTCGTGGCTCAAACGTTGCAATAAGTCTGCGTAGTATTGACCAGTGATAGTATTACCCTTTGCAAGGTAATCAATGTATATAATACCTCTTGCATCCCAAAAAACAGTAGCCATAACCTTGTTCGCCGAAAAAATTGTTTTTGCCTTCTTTGGAGTTGGTTCCCCTGGTCCAATCCACTGTTTAGACTGTTCTTTGGTTTCAGGAGTGTAGTGGTGGACCCACGTTTCGTCAACGGTTACGAATCGACGCAAAAATTCGCTTGGATTACGCTTATACAATGACAAATTTGCGGTAGAAATGTTTTTTCGAATCAATTTTTGGTCGACTGTTAGCAAACGCGGCACCCATCTTGCACAGAGCTTTTCCATATGCAAATGTTGGTGCAAAATATGTTGCACACGTTCATATGACATCTTACAGGTCTCAGCTATCTCACGCACTTTCAATCTGCGGTCTCCCAGCACTATTTGATGAATTTTTTCGATCATATCTGGAGTTGTGACCTCAACGGGGCGTCCTGAGCGAGGCCCATCAGAGGTGCTCACACGACCCTTTTTAAACTCGGAAACCCACTGCTTAACGGTTGAATATGACGGGGAGGATGTCCCCAGTGTTGAGTCCATCTCTTTTTTAATTTCCTTCGGCGTTAACCCCTTCAAATAAAAGTATTTGATGACAGCACGATTTTCCTGCTTTTCCATTTTTACGAAAACCACAGAGGCGTCTTGTTCAGCGTGCTGTCAAACCTACACTAGCAAGGAGATCGGGCTGAAACTATAGCTACAAGCTATCCAAGGATGGTACTATAGAATGTCACCTCAAGGTAGGCCTAGTGGCGTCATCTCTTGGTTAGGCCGGAAACTTATCAATCCACCCTCGTATGTTGCAAAACAAAATATTTGCTTTTAAAATCGTGGAAAGACTTTGGTGATTACGTTAATTGAACTGAGTAATATTTAAAGATGTTTATTTTTTAAGGTAGGTACTGGTTAAGTGGCCGTACAGGTACCATTTAGTAGATGGCACTTTAGCAGAATATGTGAACAAAACAAATGTAAGAAAATAAAGAGGTGATACATTTTCGTTTACAATCTTTGCCTGCAGTTATGAGTTCTCTTGTAACATACATGTAGTCACGGCCACCAGAGCACTTAGCGAATTGAGCATTCGTACTCCTTTGTCAGAATACTTTACAGAATGGCTATCATAATATGTCTTTCCATGCGTATGTTTCAACCCTAAAATGGTAACAATTTCGAACTGTTTTCAGTTATAACAACCTGGTATTCAATACATATAAATCAAAGACAAATCGTTTTATTTCTGTACAGGGTGTTTTACTTTTTTCTCAGCTTTCTTATCGTATACATATATTTCAGTAGATAATATATAGTGCCTCATAAAGGTATTTAGATAGTTCTGCCATGATTAGGGCCGTCATAACAGCCC